CATGACCCCACAATCTTAGGGACCAGGGCTTGCGCTTTGACTCTTTGGAGGAAAACTTGAACCCAAAATCTTAAGCACCAGGGCTTGCGATCTGACTTTTTGGAGGAAAACTTGAAGCCAAAGTTTCAGGGACCAGGGCTTGTCATTTGGCCTTTTGGAGCAAGACTTGAAGCAACAGTTTTAGGGAGCAGGGCTTGCGATTTGGCTTTTTGGAGCAAAGCTTGAAGCCAAAGTTTTAGGGAGCAGGGCTTGCGATTTGGCTTTTTGGAGCAAAACTTGAAGCCAACGTTTTAGAGAGCAGGGCTTGCGATTTGGCTCTTTGATGTTCTTTGGAGCAAAACTTGAACTCAAAATCTTAGGGACCAGGGCTTGCGATTTGACTGTTTGGAGCAAAGAAATGATCCCACGAAACCTTGAAAGAAAAGGTGCTCTTTGTTCACTCTCACCTTTCGTTCGTTTCATTTTCTGAACGCTTTACTTTAAGTATGAATATCTAATGTAATATGTAAAGAGGGGTGTCCAAGTTTTTTTTGAGTGTTTCGGGTGTCCTTTTCCTTTTTTGTAGCGAAATATGAAATATACACCCGCACCGGAGATCTTGTTTTTGGAAACCTTGAAAGAAAAGTGCTTCTTTGTTCTCTCTCACTTTCGTTCGTTTCATTCGGTATAAAGTAAATAATTTAGCATGTAGAAAAGGGTTGTCCAAGTTTTTTAGAGTGTTTCGGGTGTCCTTTTCTTCCTTTTCTGTAGCCACCCACCTGAGCAGGACACCCACACCAGAGACTCCGATTTTGGAAACTTGAAGGAAAGGCGCTCCCCTTTTTCCACCGTTGCCTTCCTGTCGTTCCTTGCGCAAGAGGCAATAAAAGAAAGAAATGATGTTACATGTATCCAAAATTAGGGTGTCCTGTTTTTCTTTTCTGTAACAAGACCTACTTTTCACGGACACCCACACCGGAGACCTCCATTTTTTTGAACCCTTTGAAAGAAAGCAGGCCGAAGACTTAAGATTCTCTGTGCTCCCAAAAGACAAATCGCAAGCACCGTCTTCCTAAGTTTTTGCAGAAGGGGATGCTCCCAAAACACGCCCCCCAAGATTTTGGCAAAATGTGCTCCCAAAAGACAAATCGCAGGCGCAGCCCTCCAAAAAAATTGGACAAGTTTATGCTCCCAATCAGTTTTTCTTGTTAAAGATGAGTTTACATGTCTTCCTACCTTGTTCCTTTCTTCTTCCGGTTCGCTCGCTTGTTCTCTCTCTCTCTCTCTCTCTCTCGCTCGCTCTCTCCATCTTTTTGCTTTTATGGGCGGCATGTCTTGTAGAATTGGAAGACGAGGAGGAGGGTGAACTACAAAGCAGAGATTTGCTGAAGCAGAGAGGGAGTGAGACACGGCGAGGCATAGAGAGAGAAGCATAGACCGTGGGAGAGAAAGGGTCTCTTGACTCTTAGCTTCCCCTTTCTCAAGTCCATATTAATTTTCTTTCTTGTGGAAAAGAAAGAGGAAAAGAGAAGAGAGAAGAGGAATTTACATGTTCTTCCTACCTTGTTCTTGTCCCTCCTTGACCCTGTCTCTTTTTCTCTCTATCTCCTTTGGGTTCGGCCGGTCCACACTAACAGTCACCACCAGCAGACCCACAAATAAAAGCACCCGGTAAGTGCCAAAAAATTGACTGAGATTCCTGCTATTCCTGGTGCTATTCCTGGTGCTATTTCTGGTTCATTTTTTTGCGCTATTCCTGGTGCTATTTCTGGTGCTATTTTTTGTGCTGTTGTTTGTGCTATTTCTGGTGCTATTTTTTGTGCTATTGTTTGTGCTATTTCTGGTGCTATTTCTGGTGCTGTTGCTGGTGCTATGTGACTAACAATCACCATCAGCAGACCCACAAAAAACAGCACCCGGTAAATGCTAAGCTGATAAAATTGACTGGGATTCCTGGTGCTATTTCTGGTGCTATTGTTTGTGCTATTTCTGGTGCTATTTTTTGTGCTATTCCTGGCGCTATTTCAGGTGCTATTTTTTGTGCTATTGTTTGTGCTATTTCTGGTGCTATTTCTGCTGCTATGTGACTAACAGTCACCACCAGCAGACCCACAAAAATAAGCACCCGGTAAATGCTAAAATTGACTGGGATTCCTGGTGCTATTTTTGGCCTGTGTGTTATAAGGCCACGGCGTTATTTGACTGTTAGTGTGGACCGGCCGAACCCAATATCTCCTCATTTTTCTGTTAAAGTGGTACGGGAAGGCGGAATGAGATGAAGGCAGCGTCCTCCCCTGGAGGCACCTGCCCACAAAAAAAGGAGCATCAGCTTCCAAGAGATTTGCAGAAGGAGAGAGGGAATGAGACAACGCAGGGCATGGAGAGAAGCGTAGACCGTGGGGGAGAGAGAGCGAGAGGGCCTCTTTGGCTTTCCCCTTATCTCGTTCTCTGTTTAGACAAGAACATAGGAAAAAAGGGAGTTTGCACCTTCTTCTCGCTCCTCACTCGTCTCTCTTCTCCACACCCCTCTCGCGCTCCTTTTTTCCCCCTTTTTCAGTGGGCTTGAGGACAAGGGGTTTCCCCACAACCGCCCCACGCTGCACTCACTCACTCTCTCTCTCTCTCTCTCTGTCGCTCTGTTTTTTCTTTCTTTTCTGAAAAGAACAGGAAGGGGTGGAAGCTGATGCTGGGTGCCTCCAGGGGGGGGACGTTGCCTTCCTCTCATTCGTACCACTTTAAAAAAATGAGGAGATATAGAGAAGGAGTGACAGGGTCAGGGGGAGAGAAGCGGGAGGGACAAGAACAAGGTTAGAAGAGGCCATGATAGTACGACTTACGTGACAGCAGCGTGCCCTCGTGGGAACGTCAAGTTTTCCTCCAAAGAGCCAAATCAAGCCCTGGTCCCTAAGATATTGGGTTCAAGTTTTCTTCCAAAGAGCCAAATCGCAAGCCCTGGTCCCTAAGATTTTTGGGTTCAAGTTTTCTTCCAATCTAAGAACATGTCTGGCGACCCCGAAAAGACATAGACTCCCAGCTTCCCACGTGACAGCCTCGTACCCTCGTCGGAATGGGTTTGGCAATAACAAAACCCGAGTGCCAGCTTCCAAATAAACCCTATTTAAGCCACCCACCCCCCCCCCCCCCCGGCCGCCACATCCCCCAAAGCCGTACAACTGCACTTACGCCTTCGATGTCCAGCTGAAGGATCAGAAAAGTCACAAGGGTGCCACAAGGCCAGGACTAGTTTCGGAGCTCTTCTTCATTGAAGATTTGGATGGATTCTTGATGATCAACGTCTTTGTAAAACAGGATCTTGAGGCATCTCAATTTTGAGTATCTTAGATGAAAAGGGATTGACGTGTTTGTGGCATTTGCACGGGCTTTGGGTAGCCAACAAAGCTTAAAACAAACTTGAAGTCGTTCGTTAAACTCCGTCGAAGCAAAAAAAGGAGCTTGCACTGAACCCCCCCACCCCCAAATGACGCGAGAGACACACACCATGAGCACAAAAAGAGGCCTCGCGTCTCCCCCCCCCCCCCCCTTCCCCCCCAAAAAAAGAAATGAAAGACAATATTCAATAATCCCTATAAGGAAGAAAGCTTTTTCTTGTCTGGGGGGTTCTTAAGCAAACAGTAGTTGGATTCTACAGGGTACCTTATTCCCTCACTCCCAACAAATTATAAGAACAAAGCCTACTTAGAGAGGCCCCCTAAGACCGGAAACTCCCCGTCGGGACTGCGGAGCTTTGTAGGGCTTAGGATTTAGGGTCGACTTTTTTCAGGGCGTTGGGGCGCCCAATGAACATACATTCACAAAACTCGGTTCTTGGGATCCATGATTTGCCCCAGAACTTTGCAAGAATGTTACAACTATGTTTTTGCAAAAAGTCGCCGAAGGCAATTTGAGGTGCTTTTAGAACGCAGCTAGTTGGGCACTTGTTGGCTTCACACAGGAAAAGGGCTTAATGTGTTGAAGATCTTTAGAAGCCGATTGACATGCTAGTCAATTCAACCCGTTAAGTGGCCCCAATTCTTTTCTCGTCGTGGGAACGAAGCACTCGATTGCCCTTCGAAAGCTCTAAATATCTTAAGAGCTGAACCGGTTCTGAATTTGAACGTGCATCCGTGCACATTCTTTAGTAAGCCCTACTTGTTGTGCTGAAGTATTGAATTGCACATACAGAAGTAAGAATTAGATAGGCCCTGAAACACTGAAACATGTTAGAGTATCAGTGTAAAGTGGAAACAAAAAGAAGCCTGGCAACTCCCAATGTATCGACTTTCACTAGAGCCTGGCAGAAAGAAACTGTTAAGCAACTTATAGGCCTTCTGACTTCAAAGACAGCCTCGAATGGGAAAACCTTCAGAGGGCTGCAGTTTGAGGTTTATCCGCATGCAGCCCATGAGTCCCAGCAGTTGCCCCGGCAGCTGTCCTTCGTTATTCTCGCCTTTCTTACTCACTTCGGTGATTTTGAAACGGCCATGAACCCTAAACCCTAAACTCTAAACATTCCAGAAAAGTTCTGGGGCTACCAGCGGGAGCCCAGGTCCGACAATCGTCTTTCGAAGGCTTAGAAAGTGCCCGTTAGGCTTGAAGAATCAATCAGACCTGGTTTGTTTCCTCAGGGCGGGGGGGGGGGGGGACCCCATATGTATGTATATATGCTGATGCATACATGTACCGATACCGATTAAGAATGTCAAGTCCCGACAAGTACTCCGTAGTCAAGAGTTATTGTTGAAGTTCTCGTGCACCTACTGGGGAGCTCGGCCCCTTTACTCACGTTTGGGTGTTAGGTATAAACCTAACTCCTGAACTCTACATCCTTGGAATCCCCTTGCAGTGGCTCTCTGTGACGCTAAGCAAACCAATTCGTCTGGGATCGGGTTTAGATCTGGAACAGTGCAAGGGTGCTACCAAATGCCCGCAGAAAGTGTTCTTATGTTCTGGACAGGCTTGGGTCTACAGCTACAGCTCGCGTGATTGCAGAACGATCCGGGAAAGCCAAGGCAACTGCTGTCCTCCGTGACGTTCGTAGGCGCCTGCAGCTTGGTGGGCAGCGTTCCAGTGCTTCATGAATAAATCCCTTCTTGCTTTTTGGCGTTTTTTGGCCGCCATCTTCTGGGCTTTTTGGGTTTTCTTCTACTCTCGCGCCTCTTCATCGAGGCATATGAAGAATCCTCGCATGTCACGACCTTGTACCGAGTCCTCAGCGCACTCTCCGAAAATCCCTTCTAAGAGAACTCTGACAAAGGAACGGAAAAAGCGACAGCTGCAGCCGTTCTTAATATCCAAGTCTTGGCCAGCCAGCGTCAGTCAAGGCTAAGAAAAGCTCAGCGTGAAATATCCCTAACCCTTGAACCATCTTAGCCCTACGCCAATTAATCAACCTCTCTTTGCAATCTGTGTGTCTGTGGACCAGGTTATTGGTCCCTGTGGAACGACCCCGACAGGACCATTGTAGCCGCTGTAGTTCACTCCATTGACAGTGAGCACATCGCCATCATCAGTCTCAAAGTCCAGAACTCTCAGGGGCCTCGAAACACTTCCCAGATGGGCTGCTACTCGAGTCTGCCACTGTGGAAGGGCTTTTTTCAAGTATGTTGTGTGGCTCAGGCTTCCTGGACTGTTTCAAGGTGTGGCGCATGTCCCTTGCTTTGGCCCTCTACTAGGCGTGGAGCACCCCCCCCCCCCCCCCGGCGGTCCGTACCTCGAAACCAAATCGTGCTCTCGTGTGTGTAACACTTGTAGCATAACAGCAGGCGTAATGCTCAAAAAATCGCAATAACAATATTTCTCTCTTTCTCTTTCTTTCGCCGCCCGCCCGCCCGCCCTCACGCGCGCACCCACACGCCCGCTTGCACCCACACGCCCGCACACACCCACACGCGCGCACGCGCGCGCGACCACCACCACACTACACACTCCACACAGCCACACCACGGCCCCATCACACGCCACCACCACACCACTACCCAGCACACACTCCAGCACCGCATCACCCTCACAGACCCACCGCACACCACAGTTGCTCCACCAGCATACACCCACCACTGAAATCCGCCGACCCCGCTCTTGGGGTCGAGCGCCGGGGAAGCCCCCAACTCACACAAAAAGACTCCCCCCCCCCCCCCCCCCCCCCCTTTGCGGCTTCACCCGGTTAATTTCCCACTCTTTTTTTTTTTTTTAGAAAGACGACTGACTGCGACCTCTGCCCCGACCCCCTACCCCACCAAACCGAAGCCTCCCCCCCCACCCCCCCCCCCGCCCGTTTTCCTAAACCCTTTCCCCTACCTACCACCCCCCCCTTTTTTAGAGGATGTGTCTCGACCCTTGCCCCTACCCCCCACCCCCCCAAACCGAAGCCCGTCACCCCCCACCAAAAAACCTCTTTTTTTATCAGTCTAGAAACCACGCGAATTTGGGTCGGAGTCCGACGTGTCTTCACTCTTCGCACCTTTTGTGGGGTCGGCGGCAGCGGCGTCAGCCCTTAAATCCGGCCTGGCCGTCGTGGTCCAGTGCGGAGCACGGCTAGCCGAAAGGCTTGCCTTTATGCAGGCGCTGCCCGTCCCTGAAAATGGCATCCTTGCATGAGGCTCCGGGGGAGCCCCGGGAGGGCTCCGAGCGGGGTCCCAAACGCGAATGCGTGGAAGTGCCGAAAACATCGTAAATACGGTGTTTTTTTGCCAAACGCCCTGGAGGGCTCATGATGCGTGACCCGGCGCGCATCATCGACCCTGCATACCCTGCTTTTTGACCTTGGGCGAACATGCGAAAAAAGACCTTTTCCCTCAAGTTTTGGGGGGGTACCCCCCCCCCCCCCAAACAGGGGCGAGCATCATGAGCATCAGCGACCCGCCCCCGGGGCCACAGGAGGGCCCGGGCACCTCAATAAAGCCAGAAAACACCGTTTTTCGTGTGTTTCGACACACACCTCCTTTCGGGGCACTGCCGCGCCTCCACGGTGAGCATCATTGACACCCAAGGCTTCGGGGGCGTCAGTCGACGATCGCGATACGAATTACGGATGCGCATCATGAGCCCTTCATTTCTCCAGGGCCCTCGGGTCCCGGCTCCGGAGCCTTGCTGATGCTCATGAGGGCCTCGCTGATGCTCATGATGCTGTTGCGTGCGCGCGCGCTCTCGCACGCGCACGCGCACGCGCGCGCAGAGGATTATTCATAGGGTTTCGGCCGTCGCTTCCTGTTATTTCTTCTCTTCTGCTTCCTGCTCATTTGTGTTTATTATATTTATTCTTCTTTCTTTTCTTGCTTCTGTTCTTCTTATATTTCTTCATCTTTCTTTTCTTCTTTACGTTCTTCTTCTTCTTATTCCTCTTTCTTTTCTTAGTCTTTCTTTTCTTATTTTTTCTTCTTTCTTTTCTCCTTCTTTGAATTTTTATTCTTTTTATTATTATTCTTATTTTACTTCCTTGTCTTCTTCTTTATTTTTCTTCTTATTTCCTTTTCTTCTTATTTCTTTTATTCTTCTTCTTTCTTTTATGAGTTATTTTATTATTCTTCTGTTTCTTCTTCTTTCTCTTATTCTTCTTCTTTTGCTTCTTCTTTCTTTTCTTCTTCTTTTTCTTCTGTCTTTTCTTCTTATTCTTTTCTTTTTGTTTTTCTTCTTCTTCTTTCTCTTCGTATTCTTCTTGTTCTTCCCTTTCCCTTTCTTCTTGCTATTATTCTTTCTTTTATTGTCTTCTTCTTTTTCTTCTTATTTCTTTTCTGCTTATTCTTCTGTTTCTTCTTCTTTCTTTCTACTTCATCTTTTTTCGTTCTTTTCTTCTTATTCTTGTTCTTCTTCTTTTTCTCTTATTCTTCTTTTTCTTCCTCTTTTTCTTGATCTTTTTCTTCTTCTTTCCCGAGTTTCAGCTTTCAAACGGCCAGGCCGGCCCGTGCCGCAAGGCCTTTAGATGATACATGTAGATGCGGCACAGCACAAAATGGCACAAAGCTTGGCCCGCCCCAAACAAGACGGGAAGCTTGGAGTTGCCGTCCGCCACATTGATCACACATTCCTGGCATGCAAAGGGGGAAATGCTTGGGCCTCTCCATCTTCGCTCAAGCTGTTGTTGTGGCGGACTCTGAAGACCTACGAGCTTTCATGAGCTCTGCAGCTCAACACTTCCGGAAGGAAATCCTCGCCTCTGGATGTGCTGTGCGCTTTTAATGGGAGAGATGCACAGGACCCATATAGCACTCATCAACATGGGAGCTCTGAATTCCCTGACCCCGAACCTTGAGCGGGCCTCGTTCGTGTAGTACGGCTCTCTGGGGTAAAGCTTCACGGCGCGGATGCAACAAAGGCCTCCATTGCAACCCTCTGGCGCCTCCCCACCCTGGCCTCCACCATACGCATAGTTGCTGTAACTGTAGCCGTAGCTGTAGTCGTAGCTGCCAGAACCACCATAGCCGTAGCTACTGCCGCCATAGCTTCCGTAGCTACTGCCGCCATAGCTGCCGTAGCTACTGCCATCGCCCAGGCCCCTCTGCCAGGGCATTTTGAAGGTGTCGAGAAAGCATCTCCTCAAGGGTGTTCTGCCCAGGCTACGGCTACGGTTGGCTGTGATGCAATGATGCCCGAAACGCAGTAACAAGTAGTCGATGTCGTCGTGGTAGTGTTAGCAGTGGTATTGAAATCGTAGATAGTCATGCAACTACAACTCGCACGATCAGATTCAATTCGTGACCGTCTTTACGAAGCCAGGACCCGCCCCAGCGGTCACAACACATTAGCTTTACGCGACCCTGTGCGCACTCGTCGCCAGTGTTGAGTAAATATGGGATGATACAATGATACATGTTTGTGGCGCTTTATGGCCACTTGCAGTGAGCACGACTACTGACTACGCCATGTTTAAGTCGTCTCAGCCGTACCAAGCATCCCATAGGTGCCAGAGACCCGAGTGAAAGGAGCGTCGCATGTAGCAGGCACCACAAGCGCCGCAACCTTAGGGCGACTCATGCCCCGAAGCTCAAGTTCTTAGGATTTCAGTTCCTGAAACTAGGGAGCTTGGAAGAGTTGCGGCGCGCGTCCCCAGAACGCTGCAGAATCAAGGGGGTAGTAGCACATTCATCTGTTTGGTGTTAACAAGGATTGAGTGCTAGTGGCTTGCAACTTTGTCTGGATCCTATATGCACCATGCTTTTAACAGTCTGGTGTTCGAGGCACGTTGTATTTCTGCGCATCATGAATCATGAATGGCATCATGAACGAAACAAGGCCCACTGCAATCCCTTAAACTCAAAGCCAGAGTCCACGCACGCCACATCTAAACCGGTGCGGAAGCACGAACAATCCCACAGGTTTAGCGCCTCTGCAACGCAATGTGCGGCATTCGGTCAAACCCAACATCAGACACGATTTCTGCCCGGCTTGGGGTACAAAGGGAGACGGCTGCACTCACCACGAGCTATTCAGTTCATTGATCACGTCGCCAATTTCAATCACAATCTTTACATCATTGCCCTGCCGGTCAACAGTAACTTTGCCCTTCTCTTTAAAGGCCTTGTGGACGTCTTCAAGGTAATCCTTGAAGGGGCACCCTCTGAGAGCTGCTTCCATCTCAATTGTCATGGACGTTGCTGTGACCGCCGACTTGGAGCACTCTGCCGTGGCATCGAAACTGGCGTCCACCACCTCCGCCTTCAATTTGCTCTCAACGACCTCAACCGCCATGAGCTTGGCCCACATATCGGCTTTGGGATCGGGAATGTTTTCCTTGTAGTACCCTTCATTGGTGATGTTGCCACCTTGGGAGGACAAAAAGGGTCGAAATATAGGGGGGCCTTAGTCATTACAGTTTTTTTTAGAGCTCTGGGGTATATGATCTAGTAGGAACTCTAAGGACGAATGCTGGTCGATACCTTGTCGTATCCTTCATTGGTAGTGCTGAGCCACCTGGGAAGTAGTTGGCCACCATGAAGCAACCATCCTTAGATTTTGCCATGCCGACCTTGGTGGTGCCCTTCCACACCTTACTTGCGCAGTTCTCATGGCAATACAAAGGTTCAGGGTTGAGGGTTGAGGGTTTCGGGTTTAGGTGATATGGCCGAGAGGGGCTCAGAACAAGCAGATTGTTGTAAGACCCCTCCTAGCTCCTTCAGACCCCCCTCCAAGCCTTCCTACACCTCCTGAACTCATGACGTGCGTGGTTCACCCCCCGACAGCCGAGGCGGCGCGCACAAGCGTTTACAGCGCTTACAACTGTAGTACCAAAAGAAGTTAAAGGTTTCTTAATCGACTACTAAGGCACCACCTGTGTGAAGTGATGCACACCAGGTTTGGGACCAGGGCTTTTGAAATCATACCCAGGATCCTTGATCTCATTGTACCACGCCTGCACCGCATTGCACACAGGATCAGGCTCAGAACAGCCATAGGTGTTCTGTCCATGGAAGCCAGATGGACCCTGCTGGTTCCCATGAGAGATCTTTCCATTCGCCTGGCATGTCTCTGCCTGCAGCAAGGCGAACTCATAGCACTCGTGGCTCCACTCCAATGCTGGTACACCATGGTTCGCCCTGAACTTGTTGTGGCAGTCAAGACATTCCTTGATCCAATCTGCTGGTGCTTCTGGGAGCCCGGGGCTTTCGACACCTACGCCGGCGCCATCTGCAACAGCTCCATACTGGTCAATCCCGTCAACTGCCGCAGCTGCGATTCTCATCCTGTCGGCGGCCGGCACACCCTTGAAGGCAGCCTTCAACTCATCATCGGAGAAGCTTTGGGCCGTTTCGGCCAAGGTCGCGCTTGCACCTGTGCCCATGTGGCGAGGGACAAAGAAGGCTGCACAGAGAAGTCGTGATCTGCCAGCCCCAGTGGCTGCAGCCTGTTGTTCTGTAGCACAGAGGGCCTACCGTATCTTCAGACCCCGTGTGGCTTACTATTGCAAACTTCGTAGGGCTCGACACCCGAAGCTTGATCGCCTCTAAAATGTGAAGATAAACTTCAGGAAATCTCTTTGCCCCCGCTCCAGCAAACCAAACATCACCAAATCCTGCCCTGAGAAGAACAATTCAGGCCCACACCTTTTTGCACACGAGTCGGATCTGAAACCCTAAGCTGGGAAGCCACCTTGCGACCCTTAACTCTAACATCCCCATCTAGGGAATCTAGGGGTTATACAGCCATATTGGACAATGTTGCAGCCGCTGCTGCAAGTGAACACTGGAGGGTTAGTTTACCTAGGCCCACCCAACCACTCTCGACTTTATGTGATTCCCTGCTGCATGAAGGCTCGATTATGGGTAGCTTCGACCTGGGCCCTGATAGGCGTAAGCTACAACGCCTAGGGCTAATCAATTTAATCTAGGGGCCTCGGGATGGAGGAGTTGGAATTCTGTTGGGCCCTTAAACAGCTGCCTGAACCCTACACCGAAAAAAAACCCCAAGGGCGAAAGCGCAAGGCAACATCGAAGCTGCCATTGACGGGCTCTTCGAGCCCGCCAGAAGATCAATGGAAGTTGTGTTCCCGGTCCTCCCAAGCCTCTGCCCCAGTAACATTGCTGCGCGGTGAGTTTGCCCTGAACCCTGAATCCTAAACCCCCTAAACGACAGCATCCCACTGTTCCAACTAGGAGCTTGACGGCGAGATTGGTCCATGATGGCAAGATGAAATACCCTGAAGACTCATTCCATCCAAGCAACGCCCAGTACCCGCAGGCACCACATCGAGCAGGAGATTTCTTCCGACGTGACGTGAACGCATGCGCTATGCCACCTACCTCTGATCCAAGCGCTCTTCGGCGAAAGCAAGCAGACTCTGCGACACCCCGTGTGAAGCACTGCTAAACATAAATGTGTAAACATACCACTGCAACTTGCGCGAAAAGGGGGGGGGAGGTGTTGACAAGGACAAAATCAGTACCGCAATAGCGCAGACACTTCCTTCCCTCTTGTTGCTTCGAGGCACACTTTCCTCAGGTGTTCGGGCTTTGAGGTACGTTTTCCTCCGGCATTTCGCCACGTGTGTCGGGACCTAATGCCGAATATGGGCCAAGAACAAAGGGCTCTGGTGCAGATGCTGTAGGCTACACCAATTGGGGCTTACAGCTTCTGCAAAGTAAAGGAACTGTGGACACTGACAATAAGATCAGGGACCCAGCGGGGCTTCAAGAAAAGAGGCACATGCGCACATGCGGAACCACGTCACCTAAGACTTATAGCTCCGGAACTCGGAACCTGGCCGGGCTACACATGCAGATTGAGGCCTTTGCAGCAAGATCCGCCAGGCTAGATCCATGGGGATCTTTTGTAACGTTCTGTCCTCTGTCTAGGGCCCTGATGGTTGTATATCCTAAAAAATAAACGTACCAAAGGACCCATCATCTCGAACAACATCCGCGGAGGGCTTTGGTTTGCGCTGCGTCTGCTTCTAAACCTTTCTTCTTGTCGGGTGTTTCCTTCAGCGCCAAACTGGAAGGGAAGAACAGCAATCATTTAAAGGCATCTAATACCAGGGCTAAATGTGGTCATCGCGATGTCGGGCAGCCTGTTTGCACGCACACAGGTTCAAGCGTGTTGACACGTGCTTGCGCGGTAGCCGATCCTGCAAGACGTGCTGACTTGTGGATTAGAATTCGTTCCGCTGCGACCAGCATCGACCAGCCAATGCAAAGGAGCTGCGTGCATCGTTCAGGCAAATTTGCTCCATGTTGACAGTCATGAAGCTTCCTCGTGTCGTTCAGCGAGATGTTCAACATCCATGGCCAACAGGAACGTGCAGACAGGAGAACAGCAAGGGCCCGACAGCCTTGAAAGTTCTAGAAGGCGCCCCCGCCGCTACACCGACATCAAGACTGTACGACGCGATGCAGCGCCAGTCTGTGTCACATTGTTCCAGACCTAGGACGTCGTCCTGGCTCGGGTTTTGGGTGTTCAATGGGGTTACCAGGTGTTTTTGTTAAAGGCTATTTAAAGCATGTAGGTAACGATTCAAAACAATCATGTTAAAACAAAACAATCGGCCTAATGGGCAGGGAGCGTGGAGGACTTGTGCGTTCGACGCAACTGCTGGCCGTTGCCGCCCTCAAGGCGAAGGTCAAGGGCGAACGAGGAAGGAAGACCAGGGCCAGGGCCTAGGATGGTTTCCGAGATTCTAAATGCGAGAGCCATTGAGATTGTTTATTTTAACCCGATTAAATTTTCATCGACGTTAAAAGGCTTGAAATCCTCCAAAAAAAACCGAGGCCGACTATTTTTCAACCTGATTAAATAGTTTTTCGCTTTTTAAAAGCTTAAAATCCTTTTAAAGAATGGCTTGGGGCCTAAGACGAGCACAGCACCAAATAAACCCTAAAGGCGCTACATACCAAGCTATATAGCTGCACCAGGAATGGAAACGCGCCTGCTTCGAAACACCATCGAGGAATCACAAAAGTGGAGCAAGAAACCGTGCCATGGCAAACTATCCTATGTTGCAGGAGATCTCGTTGCTCCAGCTTCTGTCTCACCCTCGTGCACGGGCATGGCGCCGCAAATACTTCAAGCATCAACGCTGATGAGCCCAAGTACTCACAAGTTGCGGCTGGCTTAAAGGTTCTCGGTTTTGTTCAGTTTTGTGCAGAGTATGCTTAGAGTATGCTCCCAACTTGACAAGCGTTTGCATCTCACCTGCATCCCTCGCATCTTCGCCGGGCGGCAAGAGACCTTGCAGTGCTTACCGCGCATAGGTTCCAGGCCTAAGGTTTCAACGAGGTCGTTGCATCTCTGCATAGAAAGCAGCACGGGCATGAACCGCGAGGTCGAGAACAATGGGTTTCAACACTCCCAGATTGAAAAGAGCGTGCAACCTCTTTCGACTTTTGAATCTGCAGTCTCACAGCAAATCCGAGCAAGGCCCCTGACATCGGAATTAAGTCTCACAACTCGTCAACGGTTCAAAAATATCGATAATCAGCGATTGAAACTTATTGATATGCTAGAGGCATATACAGAGCTGCACAGCCTCTTCTCACTGAAGTCGCTGGCCTTTCCACGGCGGACATGACATTGGATCTGGGCCATCAAGTAGTAGGATCCCCTGAAAATAAAGACCCTCAATGAAGAATTTCGAGAACCCAACCATGTGGCTTCTCTGCGCATCCCTATCTGGAAAGGCAGCACCAAAGCAGGCTTTTGAAATGTAGAGTATACGAGTTGATCATGGATCTCAGTGGCTCAGGGGCCCGTCTTGCGCCAACACTGGCGTATGACCCTCAACATCCCTCAGCCCTAACTATAAACCTTAAACCCATGCATTCCATACCCAGCCTAGGGAGTCTCCGGCGCGCCTTGGTTCAGTGAGCTCGAGCGAACCAAAATTAAAAAGAAACCCGCAACTTGGGATCTCCAAGTGCCAATTGGTGGTTTCCGAATTTGGGGGTTACCGTGTTGGGGTCCATAATATTCGGTGTCCCTTATTTTTAGTAACTTAGTAAACCATGTACTTTCACTGTCTTGGCGTATGCCACCATATTTCACCAAGAGGCCCTGAGCGCCTAAGGAAGCCGTCTCGAAACTTTGAAAAAAACCCGCTTGTTTCTGCCACCCAAATCTTGCAAAGGCGCTGCGGCTCCCGATGCTGTGGCCAGCCCATGCGCGCAGTGCGAGGATTTCAGCATATCTGTTGCAGGGAAGACCGCACATCATTCTCTTGAGAGAGGGCCTTCTGTCTGGCAAGGGACCAATCAGGAAATGGACCCCTGTCAAGAAATGGGTTGCTGGCAACTAGCCCACAACTGTGCCCTCAATGCCCTGAACCCTGGCACCGCTTCTGGTGCCTTGCGCAACTGCATGGACCAACTCAGTGAGAAAGAGGACTTCAAGGGCTTGTTCCGACGGGCAGAGGACTAAACACGCGGGATGGGGGTGTTGGGTTTGAATTTGAATGTGGTGCTTTGGTTTACAGGGCTCAGGATACTCTGAGAGGATCGTGACGTTCCAACCTCATGCACTGCTCATAGGCAGCCATAAGCCGCGAAGCCCCCAATTACCTTACCGGAATGACCCTCAGTGAATTGAACCCTGAACCCTACAAGCTATCCCAACCGCCGGCTCTTCCGCCCCTTTACCCTGACGTGTGTCAGTCGCGTATTAGTGTATCCATACAGACTCCAGGGTCGCAGAGAAGGTGAAACCCTGAGTCGTTCCTTCCCTCGAAGATCTCTGCAGGAAGCTGCATAAGATTGTTCGAGCTCAGGTCCAACGTCTGCAGGGCTTTGAGGTTCTGGAAAATGTGCGCAGGAAGCTGCACGAGAATGTTCGAGCTCAGGTCCAATGTCTTCAGTTCCCGGAGGTTGTGGAAAATGTCCGCAGGGAGCTGCATGAGCTTGTTCGAGCTCAGGTCCAGTGTCTGCAGGGCATGGAGGTTCTGGAGAATCTCCGCCGGAAGCTGCGCAAAATCGTTCGAGGCCAGCTTCAGCGCGAGCAGGGCCGTGATGCCTTTGAAGATTTCTGCGGGAAGCTGCGCAAGATGGTTGTGCCTTAGGTCCAAGCTCTGCAGGGCTATGAGCCCCGGAAGATCTCTGCTGGAAGCCTCAGACCAAGACTGAGCGGATTGAGGCTTGTCAGCTCCAAAATCTGCAGCCCTGTCAGCCCACTGAAGATCTCTACAGGAAGCTCCGAAAGACGGTTCACCTTGAGATTCAGCATCTGCAGGGCCGCGAGCCCCTTGAAGATGGATGCAGGAAGCTGCGCAAGAAGGTTCACTTTGAGATCCAGCATCTGCAGGGCTGTGAGCCCCTGGAAGATCTTTGCTGGAAGTTTCGTAAGGCGATTGAATCCCAGATCCAATGTCTCTAGGGAGGTGAGCCGATTGAAGATCCTCTCGGGAAGCTGTGCAAGTTTGTTGTGGCTTAGATCCAAGGTCTTCAGGGCCCGGACCTCCCGGAAGATCTCTGCTGGAAGCTCCACCAAACCATTATATTCCAGAACCAATGTCTCTAGGGCCGTGAGCCCCTGGAAGATCTCAGCTGGAAGCTGAGCAAGATGCACACTTCCCAGCTCCAAGGTCTGCAGGGCCGTGAGCCCCTGGAAGATCTCTGCAGGGAGCTCCCCCAACCTGTTCCCTGAAAGCTGCAACGTCCGCAGCTCCGTGAGGTTGTGGAAGATCCCTAGTGGCAGAACCGATAGCTGGTTCTCTCGAAAATCCAAGGTTTGCAGCATTGGGTTCTTGGAAAGGGTCTTTGGCAGCACCTTCAACAAATTCTGACTCACATCCAACACTGCCAAGCCTGGGCAGTGTGCAAAGAATCCTTCCGGGAAGGATTGTAGCCGGTTCCCTTTCACCTCAAGACTGTGAAATCTTTCCTCCCGCATTCCTCCCAGGAGCAGCTTTTGCAGCTTCGGTACCGGCTCCAAGAGTTTTTCCGGCAGCTGCACCTCACACGACGACTTCAAGAAACGGAAGAAGAAGACGAAGAGAAGAAGGTTCAAACTTCATGAAGCTTTTCAACATAAGTTCCTACAAAACAGAAGCAAACTTTCCCTCCCCCAAATACCCCAACAAAACTGAAAAAAGGAGTTCAAATTCTGGCTGAGGCAGCCAAGCGGTTTCCGCTCATGGACAGCAGCCTCAAGCTTTTGAGGCCCTTCAAGGACTCCGGATGGAGGATCTCCAGGTTCGTGTTGCCAAGGTCCAGCACCTTCCGTGCAGAAAAGAACACACCGAGGCTATCCGTGTTAACCTAAAGAGGGGGGTAGGAACGCCCAGTGGTCACATTGCACCAGCTTCACCTGAGCCTTCAGGTAGCATGTACAGAACGAAGCTTAAGAGCACTTCCCAGAGAGCTGAGCCTGCAAAGAAGAAAGCTGCAAGAACAAACCAGAAGAAAGGCTGCCCAAGGGATTGCGGGAAAGGGCGAGGACCCTGAGATCCTTGGGAAGGCAGTCCGGGGCAATGTCTGCAATGCTATGGTTGCTGAGGCTCAACTGGCTGTAGCGCAGGATGCTGGGGAGCTCGCAGCTCACCAAACGCAAACCGTTCAAGACTCTCTGGGCACGTGCAAGGGAAGCATCCGAAATCGGCCGGCCGCCTCTGTGGGTATGACACCCCGAGCCAAACCCAGGCAAGCAGCAGAACTGCAAGGGTTGAATAGCAACCTGCGGCCAATGCCCGCTTCGACAGTGTCTTTCCATGCCAAGTTGGGTCCTTGGCCCAGTCCACTCCATCGAGGTCTCCGGCGTCTCTGGCGTTCCGCTCCAACGCCCTGCACACTGCCAAGACGTGGGCCAAGGATGCGTGCACGGCAAAGAAACCAAGGGCATCGGATGGGAAGGCAAAAGCTTGTGTGAGTTGGTTGGAGATCCGTAAGTCCTCGTCCCCGAAATTGCCGAAAATGGCCTCATCTGAGGAGAGTGCTGGAAGAGCGGTGAGGACGATATAGAGGTAGGTCAAGGTGTACCCAAGATCCAAGAACGCATCCATGGATGCGGCTGCAAATCTTGCGATGCTGTTTGGGAAAAGGAGGAGAACGCACGGGTACAGTGCATTGACAAGCAGGAGCATCAAGAAGCACCAAAATCCCATCTCTAGCTGAAAGACGAACTCCGACTTCAAGAAAAGGGCCAAGGACACCATGGCACTCAGCAGCTTCAACTTGCCGGTAGCCTGCACGCAAACTGTCAGCAGCTGCAAGGCGGCCACCTTCCACGTGTAGTAGCTGCCGCGGAGGCCGAAGAAGCGCTCGTAGACGGCCTGCGTGGGCTTCTTTCGTGGGGCCACTGTCCGCCGCAAGTCGTGCGCCAGCAACCCGACCAATGTCACGTAGGGCAAGGCATACAGGCCTCCACGCCACCACAGCCACAAGCCTTCCTCCTCTTCCAGCTCCAGGCTGGCGTGATGCAGGGCTGGCCCATAGCGCATGAAGTACTGGGCCGCCAGGTAGCTCGAGGCCAGCAGCGACCCCACTCGGAGGGCCGCCACCGCCGCGGCCAAAGGGTCACATCGCACACCCGCACAGAGCGCACTGGCTTTCCCGGCAACGCTGGCCGTCTCGGTTGCTGCGCGTCCCGCATGTTGAAGGTGTGGCAGGAGGCCCAGCGCCTCTGCCCAGCGGTGCACCTCGTCCAGGTTTTGCTGCAGGCGCCACAGCGGCGCCAGGTGCAGTCGCACCGTGGCCGCGCCTGCGGTGCCCGCGTGGCCCACGCAGAGCCGCACCGATGCCTCGCGTGGGCCGCTCAGAGCTGCGAAGCCGTCCTGGACAGCCAAGGCCCTGGGCTTCAGCAGCTCCCAAACGACGCAGATCTGCTGCAGAGTCGCACACCTCACCTCGCAGTAGAGCACGCCTCACAAACGGATGCCGAGTTGTGCAGCATGGGCTATGCTGGGTGATGCTGGGTGCGGGTGATCGCATGACATGATGAACATGATGATGAAAAAATGATGAAATAGGTTTGAAAGCCCCCCTCTGTTTTGGGGTGGCTCCTATGCAGCATCCAGATGGGAACAAGCTGTTTACATGGCTCCACAGAAGCAGCGCCCCGATCCTTCTCCGCCCTGAAGCTGCGCCAATCCCAGTGGCTGCAGCTTTGCCGTCACTTGGGGATCGCCCAGCAGCCGAGCGATTGGGAGGCAAACGTCTCTCCTGGGAACTCGGGAACCCGAAGCCATCGAAACATCCCGAAGTAGGGTTTATAGGGTTTATAGGGTTTAGGGCGCTTCGGGATGTTTAGGCTAGTAGAGATCCTCTAAAGAGGCCCCTTCAGCCGAGCTTCTCGAAGTCCGGCAAGCTGCGCTTGGCTCGCAAATACTCAGATCTCCTTGCACCAGGTGAAGCAAAGCGAAGCACAGCTTGCAACGACGGTGTCAGTTTCGCATGTTGAATAAACACACACACACACAGAGACACAGAGACACAGAGACACAGAGACACAGAGACACAGAGACACAGACACATTCATTTCGCTGCGGAAGGCTACTCTTTTTAGGGCCAAAAGCCTTGGCTAGCCTTCTTGGCTCTGACGCCAGCTTCTTTTGTTTTTGATTTCAATGACAGGGCAGCTTTCAGACGGCCAAGGGTCAAATCCAACGGCTTCTGCACCGTCTGGTCCAGGACATCCATGCCAGAGAAGATGCTGAAGACGCTTGACGAATCTGATCCGCTCTCCCCCTTTAAGACCTAAGGCTCTCAAGAGTCATGACCCTTCTTCATGGAACATCATGGGGAACATCAATGAAAGCCCATTGCCGGGCAAGTACCACACTGAGGGCACCGTCGGGTTCTACAACATCGAGATTGAAAGAGAGCACCGACTCTATAGGCAGGCGTCCTCGGCGTAGCTGGCTTCCGCTGTGAGTTCCAGCTCCATCGCGCTGCGGTGCATTCGGTCGAAGCGGTACACCGTGTAGGTCATACCTGGGACCCTCTTTACCGACAGTTGTGTGGTATATACCTCTCATTACGGGGGATTTCTACGAAGCTGTAGGTAAAGAGGGTCCCAGGTACTGGCAGCAGATGCGGCCAACAACGCTGCGGCCGCGAGCATGGCATGGACACCGACCATCTGGCCGATGCTGTAGCACGTCACCGGTAACCTGAGCTCACGAAGAGTTCAGCTTGTGAGACTCGAGCTATGGGTCACGCGCCACACACGGAAACTGCAGCTCCATCTCAGTCAATTTCTGAGACAATATATGGACCCTGTTTAGTAGGGGGGGCCTCTTTAAAGTCAAAAATTGGCAGAGTTTTTCAGGATCCCCCTGACTGTTTGGGGGATCCTCTTTAAAGTCAAATCGTCCTGGCGCCGTAAGAAAAATCCGCGTGGCGCGCCTTTAAAAAAGATGCTGGGCATCGCTGCCCCTTTTAAACTCCTCCCTATTAGGATCATATAAGCCCCCGGGGCCGTGTAATCAGGATCCCATCCACGCCTCGACTGTTTGGGGGGGGGGGGCGGGGGGGCTCTACACATTAGAGAGGGTCCCACATTAATCATTAGAGTAGGGTTTTGGGTGTTATGATTATACTTGTAACGGGACCATCAGGGAATTATCTTAGCATCTTTATTTCGACCCCTGTATTCAACTTCCTGAACTCAACTTCCTGCGCTGAGAGCCGCAAGGAGAGCAGGAAGGCCAAGACCACCCGGCTCTCCACCTCCATGGCCGCTTGAGTGAAGAAGAGCAGACCCAGCTCGACGACGTGCCGAGCCTGAAATCCAGGAGACTATTCGAAGGGTTTTTGTGGGATGGTTCGGGGGGGGGTTGGTTAAGAGGTTCTATGAGTTTGTAAAGGGCTAATTATAGGGTACGAAACTAATCGGGCTAATTTTTGGGGATGGTTGAAAACGGATTCCGCTCGAGCTCTTGACAAAACAGGAACCACAAGCACCCGGAGTATCCGAGAACAAATATCATGTAAACGCCCTCGATGAAGTTGCGAACATGCCAACAACGATCCAACGGAGCTTGACAGCCGAAATGGATCGAAAGTCCTCGTCGGATAATTGTGCATCCGAGCGGCAGTTAGGAAGCCATCGGCCATATTCCATGCGATTCGAGTCAGGCATAGGCATGGACCATGAGCGTTACAGTACCCACTTTCGCTGTCGTGAAAGCGTGGGCAGCCTGCAGAGTGTTGGTCACAGACTCTGCAGTGCTTAGACACCTTGGAGCCTCCGATTGCTCTATAGACTCTGGGCCCACCTGGATAGCTGCAAGGGTACGGCAGCTCCGAAGTCGAAGACTCCTGGCGCCTAACGCCGGGGCCATTCCCAGCTATTGAGCTATACCAAGCTGCCACATCAGGGGCCAACTCATTCCTACGCAGTCTGCACGTCCTCTGAAGTGTCTGACATCTCACCTCAATCCGGCGAGGGCGATTGCAGGCTGCGGAGCACCCCAGCCCTATGTCCCCAGCTTTCAGAATCGACAGTGCCGAGGCACAGGATGACTGGGAGTCCAAGATCGTCGAGGCCGACTCCGAAGACTCGGACGCCAGCTCGTAATTGCTCGAAGACAGCGGCCATGAGACTAGGCGGCGCCATTGAAGCCCTGGAAGCTCACAGTCCTGCCATACCGCACCAAAACATCAGAGATCGGCAGAAAAAGTCGTCGCCTAAACGCGCAATGTGCGAAGTGCGAAGGCTAGGGCTCCTTCACGCTCACCCAGCTGTCTAAGGCTACGCCTCTCTGTCGCTTCAGACTGTGAGCGGCATGCAACCTGGGTGCTGTGAAGTCAGCTGCAAGAAGCGAATCCAAGCAAAGCACTGCAAGAGCGGTAATTTGTTTACGGGCTGATGCAGACACCAGCGACCGACAAGACGAAGCATGTGGTTCGCACGGGGCGGAGTCATATGGGTAATTCTCGAAATGAGGGTCCCTTTTTAGAATCCCTGCTTAAAGGCGGCTGGAAAAACAACGGACCCCTTCAGAATATAATGGGTACCCAAAAGAAGGACCCGAATTCAGGAAACTACCCCATCTATTCTCGCACCATCCAATGAAGCGAGGGGGGCAGCTGCATCTTCTGCTCCATGGGCAAGCTGGGGCACTGGTTCACGCTCAGCACCAGGTCCTGCAAGAAACTCATGCAGACTTATAGCTTCTTCGATATAAACACCAGGGTTTAGGGTTCACAGTTTAGGGTTCGGGTTTTGGGTTTATATCTCCCCCCCCCCCCCCCCCCCCAAAAAAAAAAAAAAAAGTCGCTGAGTCACTGAATGTCTGAATGCCCGCCCCCGCCTATCGTCTTCTCCCCCCTGATTTTTTGACTCCTCCAGAGCCTCGAGGCGCTGCAACGCCACGCCGAGCTCAAGGCCCTCCAACCCTCAAGCAAGAGAGAGACACCACGAAGATTGCCACACGAAGGTCACAAGGACGCCTTAACCACCCTATAGACCCTAAACCCGAATAAACCCTAAACCCTAGTCATTGATGCTTTGGGAAAGCACTCTGAAGGCTGTCTCTATACAGGTGCAGCAAAAGCGAGCGCCTTCCAGGCTCACCAACCACAGCTCCAGGCTGACAATCCTGACTTCGGCAAGACGTGTCACTTGGACAGTATACCCTGTATACTTCTACGATTCTATGATTCTACACCCGCCCAACTGGAAGCGAAATCCGGGGAAAGAGGGAGGTATGTAGCATGCAGCGGGTCGAGAGAGATCGCCGTCCTCGGCGTCAAGGCCGGCGCCAGGCCCTCGGCGCAGCGCAGCTCAGCCCCGATGCAGCGCAGCGCCAGGCGCCGCAGCGGCAGCCCCGCCAGCCTTAAGGGGACCACACCCTAACATAGAAGGGGGTCACATACCATGTACTTCTTGAAGAGTATGAACCAAAAACCCTTTTGAAAGGCCCTTCTGGGTTCCCCAAGGAGCACGCGCAGGGCATCCAGGGAGGTCAGCGCCGTGAAGCTCACCTGGGACATGCAGCATTTATTTCGAACACAGAAGCGAGGGATTCCGGGATTCCGAAAGTTTCCCCGCAGCTCCTCCAACACCTGAAAGCCCTTGTTACAGTCTTTTTTTCTGGGGGAAGTCCACAAACAAGACTCGAGGGGCGTCCAGGCGCAAGGACTGCAGGCTTCGCGGCAGGTGCCAAGCCAAGTCGTGCAGGTGCCGGTCGTCAAAGCGGCGCAGGCCGGCGAAGGAGAGCTCCACCTCACAGACTGCTCACCGCAGCCTGAGACCAAACAGCCCCCCAACATCTGTGATCTGCTGAAAGAGACTCTGAATTGACTCTTAAGACCCCCTCCCAAGGCGCGATGCGTCGCAGAGCATCCGCATGCAAGGCTTGGGCGGCGTCGTGCAGGTCGCAGTCCCGGGACAGGTGGCCATACCAACTGGCCAGCGCGAAGTGGGACGCGAGGCCACGGTTTACTTCCGCAAAGCGTGCGAAGCCGTGAACATCCGACAGCTGATGCTGATCCAGCTGATCGAGCTCCATAGTGCTGGCACGAGGGAAGGCGATGCTGCCAAGAATGTGGCGCTTGTCCTCGGGCTTGGAAGCTTCGGTCTTCACGATGTCCACGTCCAGGCCCTGACGCAAGATCTGCAGCCTCGGCATCGCCGGCCATAAGAAGAGGCCTAATTTCCTTTCCCGGCATCCCACCCTCCCCCATCCCTTAACAAAACGTCCATTGGTTCTCACTATGCACGACCATGGGACGGGAAGAGCGCCTCCCTGCGCGCTTTGGAGTGCCATGCCAGCACGGGCAGCATATCCAGCTCCTGCCCGGCAAGGCCATCCGTGATGAGATGAGCGTGCCCGCCGCTATCGGATGCACCCACATCAAGCAGAAGGCGGTGCTGGGTCTTCAAACTTTGAACTTGTTGTTGCTCAATTGCAACACTCTCCTCAAATACACACCAAGCCCTCCCAAATGGGGTGGCGTCTTTGTCGAGCACCAAGAGAATGCCGCGGCACACTTGAAGGGCGAAGTAGAAAGCTGACTTGCGGGGATTGGCGGTGATCTCATCTTCGAGGCTATGCTGGTTGTTGGCATACGCGCAGATCCAGTAGCATGCGTCGCCCAACAGCCGCACGGAAGAGTGCTTCATAAGCACCGAAATGAATCTGCAGATCGGTTCCTTCCATGCGTGCGAGACAAACCACAGAGGCTTCTGTTTGGCAGCTTCCACCGTGAGCAACTCCACCAGACTGCACCCAGCTCCATTGAAGCCCTTTGTCGACGGCTTGATGACCCATGTGCTGGTATGGTACAAGTTGAACCTTATGGCTTATCAGGTGAGAACATCTGCAAGCGTATCAACATGTCAGGGGGCAGTCAACAAGTCCCAAGAGCCAGAACTCCGAAGTTTGCACCTCACACATGATTGCAAGGCCTAGGGGCATCTGCAAGGTCAGCGGCTGGCCTTGCGGAATGGTGCCCAGGGAGGAGGTCTCGCACCAGTAGCCAACGTGCTGGCGCACAAACTTCAAAAGCAAGTGCAGCTGAGAGAGGCCTTGGCAGCGACGTTGTCTATACTCCGATTGAAGCGCAGGTACTGCAACGCATGTCTCTCAAAACTGGAGAGCGGCTCGAACTCACATATCCTGAAATTCTGATGCCCTTATGCTTCTTATCAAAACTCGACAGCCTTATAAGTCCCGAGGTGCGCATGCCCCTTTCCTCGGTCCGATGGATCCGGGCCACCTCCGGCAGCACCGGGCCCAGGGTGGAGAAGTTCGTGACCACGCAGCCATGAGGGGCATGGGGGAGTCGGAGCCCTCATCTTGCTGTTGGCCCACCGACACCAGGCAGTTGCCACGCCACTGGCCTTAAATGATTGAAAACCTGCGTGTGCCCCTGTTGCAGAATCATTTGGGATGTACCCCCTTGTACTAAGAGTCGCCCTGAATAGGGATTATATACAGGGGGTACTGCAATCTCCATTAAGGACTGTCAGTATAAGGGGGAACATCCCAAAGAATCATCAGGTGAACGAAAGTCCCTCTGATCCACATAACTGTGCTACTGGACTGCGGGTAAAACCACGTCTGGCAGAAAAACCCCACAGCCCGAATGTGAACAAAATGGCACCTGCCCGCGGCTCCCTACTTCTGAGGGTGGCGCGAAAACCTGGCAAGAAGTAGGCGGAGGCCTTCCCTTACTTATGAGGGCGATGCTCCGGGCTCAGGGAGCACGAAATGCAGGGACGGGACTGCCGTCGCATCCCACTATTGTACCATGCACGACCGGGGCATCTCGAATAGAACCTGGGAGGTACCGGCAAACGAATTACATACCTCATCAAGCTTGACGTACCCAAGCGGTGGCCAGCAGAGAAGCAGAATAGCAGAGCGCACGCTTGACCGACCAAAGCGGAGGCCAGGACAAAAGAGCGAAGGCTGCTGGGACAGGCTCCAGTGGCCTGGAGGGCGGACGGAGATGCTGGCGCATCAACTTGCACACGTGGCGCTGCGTCGCCGCAAGGCCGCCCGAGCCCGGAACGACCTAACGACGACGCTGAGTTCTTGCAGCAGCGCTGCGTGGGCAAGCTCCGCCTCTTCCCCATTCCTGGCTGCTACCGCACGAGCGATGTGCCGCAGGACTGTGGCTGCGCCTTTTTCCCATTCGCCCGTGCTCTCGACAACCATCGGCACGAAAACTACGCCCTGATTCTCACAGGCCTGAGCTGTGTTAAGGTGGCTTTCCTTGTGTCTTGCATAGGCTTCGGCCGCTGCACCAGTCTTCTGGCTCGCCAAGAGGAGCGTCTCCTGTCGCTGGGGTGCTGTGACAGCAAAGTCGAGGGCAGCAGGAGACCCACCCAAGGCGGGCAAGTAGACATCGGCAGGCCGGCGCCTTGCAGACTGGGTATACCATCAGGGCTTTGTGGCAGAAGCAGGCCCGAGCGCTCCTTCTCCGGCCGGAGCCCGGCTCGCTGGGCCCAAGCGAAGACCACGTCCCTCACGGCGTTGTGCCGAAGCGTGCGCTCGCCGCCCGCAACACACATGCCAGCATGGTGACCGTGAATATCCAACACCGCGTCACACATAGGGCACCATGTGTCTTCCTCAGCATCCGGCACTCCCAGGCGAAGGCGGAGCTCCGCCAGGAAACCCGCAGGTTCAAAGCGACCCTTCCCACACGGCAAGGCGGACAGGAAAGCCCGAGCACCCGGACCAGCCTCGGATCGAAGCCCAGCGCACTCAGCCGGTGTGCTGCGAGCCAACTGGCCCGCCCAGCCGCAGTCATCCACGCGCTTGGAGAGGTTATGCTGGCTGCTGCTCAAAGCCGCCTCAAAGGACATAGCTTCAGGGGCCGGGAGCTGGGCGTTGAGGGAATCCAGCGCAGCCGCCACGGAAGGAGCACTCGTGACTTGCAAGGCCGAGAAGGCAGGGTCAAGCTCCAGGCAAGCAGCCAGGCTAGAGCCGAGAGAAGCTAGGTAGGCGCCCGGCGCATGAGTCACGCAGGAGCGCAAACCCAGCCCTGCCTGCGCAAACCCCCTAGCAGCCTGACTCCACTGCTCGGCGGTGGCGTGTATGCCTGTGAACTCAGCAAAACAGCTTCGAACCACGCCATCAAAGGCAGCCAGAGCACCCATCTGAGCGTGCGGGGGGTTGCAACGCATGCTGTGCACCATGCGTGCGAAGCCTGCGCAGGCCCGAAGCAACCGCAAAGCAACTTGCGGATCTGCGAGCTGGCCGACCTCGTCGAGCAGCCGCTGCGCCTTGGCAGCTCGAGCCTCGGTATGAGATTGCACGAAAGCATCATCACCGATGGCTGCACCAAGGAACTCGAAGTTGCGTTGCACGCGGCAGGAGCCGTCAGCGTTTTGAAGAAGAGCATTGGGCAAATGCAATTGCAAACTCTGCGACTCTGCAAGTCCACAGGCCCCAGCACGACAACTTCGCACTTGGACAGGTTGAGAGTGAGTCCCAGACCCGCTGCCCTTTCGCGCACATGGGCCAAGCCTGCCCCGACTGCGGGGGCATCACCGGCTAGAAGGCCATCATCCAGGAAGTGCACTGCAAGGTCCAAGGGTCCGAGGCGTAGCTCACAAGCAAGGGGCTGGGTGGCAGCTGCAAACAGCAGAGGGCCCAAAGGATCGCCTTGCTGCACACCAGAGCTGGACTCAAGACTTAGCGGGATTTAAGAGGGGGGGATGTTGTTCAAAAGTCATGGACAATTGTGGCCAAAAACAACGCCTCATCCCTCTTTAGACTCCAGCTTTCTCGGCAAAAAAAACCAATTGGGAAGTTCTTTTTACATCAGAGAACCCACATTTTGTGGCAAAAAAAGACCCTGAAATTGCACTTACTTCCTAGAAATTCCGGCGGCAAAAATTATAAAGCTCGAAATGATTGAGGAAGGGGGCAGCCTCAGAAAGGGGCATAGCGTGTTCTAAGTGCCTTGAACTAAACTTCCGGATTATGTCCAAACACTGACTGCACATGAACAAAGTAGTATTCGCTTTCGCGAAAAGTTCAATGCTTTGAGCAACATTTGGTTCTTCTGAACATTCATTGGCAGCAAAAGGTTCAATGCAGCTAGCTGCTAGATACAGTTTTAGGAACAAGATTACCCTAACTAGCTAATGCAAACTTCTACTTCCACCTGTAGCTAGGCTTTGTAATTAACTTCCACATGTAGCTAGGCTGTGTAGTTAAATTGTAACTACGTCGGTGATTCGGACAATGATTTTGCGATGTGTGACCCAATCCGACTGCAGCTGTGGCGGCGATCATCCTGAGCACGTCCCTGGGCTGACTGAGACAGATTGTGTTGCTAAAGCAAAAATAACGGCATTCGTTTTGGCTTGGTTTCGGGTGTTAGTCATTGGCCTTAAAGGCAGCTGTAGCTCCTCAATGATGAGACGCGACCGGTTGCGATCTGTTGTTTGTGCATTGCGGCTTGATAAAGACATCTTAGGTTGGTGGCCTGGTGCCGAACCGTGTTCCAGGTAGACGGAGGCTCGTCAGAAAACCATGGAATGGAGATCTGGTTCTGTTTGTTTCGGCACAAGCTTTTAGGGAAGCTCGCTAGACACAGTTGCGACCGGAATTTCGCTCAAATCTCGATGATTGCCGTAGTATTTATGACAAATTTAATTAAAAAAACACAGAACGCAACAGGTTGCGACCTGTACCCTCCCCCAAACACAAATTCCAATGACTCTTGCGCATTACATTAATTATATATGCAAAAGCATAGATCGCAACCGGTTGCGACCCGTAGCTTCTCCCAAGCCACAAACGCAAAGTACCCTTCTAGATGCTGCGAAAACACAGATCGCAACCGGTTGCGACCTGTAGCTGTGGCAATGACACTGAATCTCATTCCAGGTTTTCTCTCAGGGCGTGCATCTGCTGAAGTGATATCAGACACGACCGGTTGCGATCTGTTGCTTGTGCACCGCGGCTTGATAAATTTAAAGTCATGTCAGGTTGGTGCTGCAGAAGCGAGTTCCAGGCAAATGGAGGCACCACGATGGAAACCTGATTCTAATTCGTTCGGCACAAATTGTTAGGGGAGCTCGCTAGATATTTGCCACAGCTGCAGTTCGCAACCGGTTGCGATCTGCGATTTACCATGAAGCCTCTAGAATGTACCTTTGAGTTTGGAATTTGTCAGAAGCCGCAGGCCGCAACCGGTTGCGATCTATGTTTCTGCATATATATATATATACTATAATGCGTGAGTCATCGGAATTTGACGGCAGAGGTCGCAACCTGCTGCATTCTGTGTTTTTTTCAATTAAATCTGTGAGAATCTACACCCTAAACCCTAAACCCCAAACCCTAAATCCGAAACCCGAAACCCTAAACCCTTAAAATATACCCTAAACCCTAAATCACTCTTCGAAAATTAACCGAAATTCAGGTCGCAACTTTTAACACGTTGAGGGTCTGAGATGTAAGAAGAGGTCGAGGAGCTCATGGCTGCAATGCTGGCGGTGTTCATCTTCTGGTTCGAGTCAGGACCTTAGCATCAGCAAAGGGGAAAGACAATGCATTGTCGTGGTCATGCTGATGTGCTGGGCGTTTCGCGCCTTTTTTCATTTCGCAGTGCGGCCTAAGACATCTGCAGCATATACCCCAAGAAGACACGACCAAGCAACGTCTCCTGAATTTTTCGTCGTGCTTCACAAGACAAAGCCCTGCCGTCGTGCTCGGGCCACGATTCCTGGACACGTGGGCACAGAGCAAGTTCTAGTCCGCGCACAGACCCACTGTTTAGTGTCAAGAAACGAACATTCCTGCAAGCGAGTCTCGTTCCAGGGCCTGAATGGTGTCCTCTTGCTCTTGCATCTGCACAAGATTGCCCTGGTACTCTTGGCGAAGCTGTCGGAACCTTGGGTGGGTGAATGACATTCCAACGCGACCGTACTTCTACTCTTTTATTTCATACCAGTACCGAGTGACGTCCGTAGCACCTCCTGCACCCATGGATGCTCTTCGACATCCACGTAGCAAACTTCGCTGGGCCCTGAGGAAAACACAACAATGGAGGTCCGCAAGCTAAAGAATGCGAATGCAAGAACCGAGTTGAAGTTGCTAAGAACGTGGCTCACATTTGCCCCCTCGTTCTGGGCATGGTCCTGCTCGGCTGGGTCCTTCTCAGTCTCGGCGGCCTCGTCCTGGTTCACATTCGTCGGTTCCGTTTTCTTCGTCTTCGCCTTGTCATCCTTGGAGTTGGGCTGCTCATGACCCCAAATCGTTTCTTTCGGCTCCAGTCGCCTCTTTGTCTTCACTCTGGTCGCAGGGATTTTTTTGTTGTTGAATCCTCTGCGCGTGCCTCTGCATGCTTGACACAGCTTGTCCCGGCGATAGGTGCCCTCCCCGCATCTCACGCAGGCCCATGGCATTTGTGAGAACTACTTCTAATGTGTTTCTGCCAATGATGTGCCACACGTAATAATTAGAACTGAGCACAACCCCAGGCTCAACAGCTTGGCCGTGAAATGCTGCGGGCAGGGTCCCCAAGTCTGCTGCAATCGTTCAGAGAACACGGTTGTGGCAATGCAGTGGCTGAATCACCAATACCGAGGCCACGACGGATCTGACAACAAGGAGCATCTGCTTCTGAGCTGGGGAACCGATTCACCTGGCAGCCAGCTCTCCAAGGCCGAAACCCGAAACCCATGTGCAAGTTCAGTGTGTCGGGTTGCTTCGGCGTGGTGTTGATGGAGCCTTACGACCCTTACGTCGCCCTTCTTTCCCTCACGCGACCCTTATTTGATTGCACCGTATGTCACCCGTGTTTCATCCTTATTTCATCCTTATTATTATCTCCCACAGGAATCATTGTCATTCTCCTACTACATGGTACTCATGCTACTATCACGCCGAAAATCAAGTGCAAGCAACAAACAATTGCAAATCGGCGCCTTGGACGGTGCTTGTTTTTGTCGCGCCGGGGCCGGCGGTTGCCATCATCCGCTAGGACGGACACACGTGTGCAGCTTGGTAAAAGCATCGGGCTGCCGGCCTTTGGCCAGACACAAGCCTCTCAGCGACCGAACTGCAGGAGCCGTGCGTCCCTTTCTATTCCAGCACGAGGCGTTTGCCTGTGCAGTCTTTGCATTCCGGGCAGCCTGACACCGACCAGCTGAAACACCACATTAACACGGAAGTTTTTTTGGGGGACCGATCCTTTTACGTGCTAATCTGTAGGTAGCTCTAGGTACAGGCTAACTAACTACATCCTCAGCTGTCGGTGTCACACGCTGCAAGCCTGCTACAAAAGGTGCTCGAGGAGGTCGAGCAACTTGACGAAGTTCATCATCTTAGAGATGCTCTCACTCTCGCACGGGTGCTTGAGCTCGACGTGCCGGACGACTGCGTCCGCGCCTTCGACGACGCTTGCCATCTTCTCGAGTGAGTCCCATCGCCGGCTTTCCGCCAGCCAGCACAAGTAGCATTCCAGAAACCTCCCTGACGATGCCGACTTCTTTTCAGAAGTCGCGTAGCCGTAGTCGCGGACGAAGGTGTCGTCCACCAGCGTCAAAGCCAGCGTTAAGAGCCAGTTACCCTTCTGAGAGCAGGCCGTGACTCTTGCGTCTTCCTGGGCCAACGCCATATTGTGGAAGGCGTTGTGCATCGTGGTGCGGAAGGGCCCATCCTTGAAGGCCCGCAGCTCCTGCAGAAGTCCGGGGGTCTGCTGTGCCTCCACCACTGCTTCCTGCAGCGTCTCCATGAGTGAACCCAGCTTCTCGTCCACGATCCTTGCTGCGCCACGACCACCGCAGGCCATGGCAACGTCAGGTAGTCAGGTGTCTCAGGAACAGGCGGAACGCAAAGCGATCAAAATGATCGAGCTGGGGGCACAAAAAAGATTGAACCACAATGCAGCAGCCATCATCAGAATCATGCACCACCAACAAGGCAATGCAGCCATCATGCGTCCGGCTGAGTAAAAGGCACATGCAATAGGAAGGGCCCGAGCCTCGTCGTGTGCAAAACACGTTCGTTTCCTCGATGCGACGGCCTGTCGGTACACACAGTACAGTCATCATGTGTACGCACTATTTCACCTCTATTGCAGTCCTACTCACGTTCTTTCACGCTTACGTCCTCTTTGTTAGGCTCTTCTTTCCTTTATTGGACCCTTATTAGCCCTTCTTATTTCACGCTTACCTCACCTGACTTAAGCCAGAGGGCCTGAGTGGGGAGTAAGCTTGTCAATTTAAGCCCTAGGCGCTTAAACTGGTTGGTGGGATAAGTTCCAACCCCGAAACCCTGAAACCTATGCCATTGACCTCTGCGTGCCTCAGGCTCATCACATCCACTAGGGCCCAGGACCTGGCCATGAGCTCATTTTTGTTGAATGGATCGCTTTAGGATACGGTTCAGGGTTCACCGATTGAAAGCTTCGTCCAAAATGGGTCACTACATTAAATCAGCCACTGGGGGAACCAATGCGACTTGCAATTTCATGTGTGTAGATCACTAGAACTGATCACGCATTTTTCCCCTTAATCTCATGGACGATCTTGCGGAAATGTGATCGCCGCCGGACCCCAAAAGTGAGCAAACCCTTGTTGCTGCTCACGGTAACATGTCCTCCGTGAAACACAGCGAGCGGCGTAGCTTCGGTGGAGGTTGGGAGA